TTTTCCGAAAGCGTGGAAAAATGCTAACATATTGGCCTTTCCTAAACCTGGAAAAGAAAAAAATTTTCCCCAAAATTACAGGCCTATTAGCCTCCTGTGCACTCACAGCAAAATCTTTGAAACAATAATACTAAATAGAATTCGTAGCTTTGAAGCAAAAAATAAAAACATAATAAAAGAACAATTTGGATTCAAACACCATCATAGTACAATACAACAACTCGCTAGAATTACAAATGAAATCTCAACAAATTATAATCTAAACAGATCAACTGCCATGCTCCTTTTAGATATCGAAAAAGCTTTTGACACCGTGTGGCATGAAGGTTTGATATTCAAACTTAACAAGGTCGGCATACCATTATATATAATTAAAGTTCTTTATTCGTATCTTAAAAATCGCACTTTTACAGTCTCAGTCAAAAATCATAATTCTAGTTTACAAAACATACATGCTGGAGTCCCACAGGGGTCTATCCTAGGACCAATACTCTTTTTATATTACATTAATAACATACCGAAGCATACAAATACAAGCCTAGCATTATTTGCAGATGATACAGCGATCCTGGCCTCCTCCTGGTCAAAAAAGAAAGCAATTGAATATATACAAAGGCATATAACCATTATGCGTAAATACTTCGAAAAATGGAAAATAAAAATTAACGATAAAAAAACCGAACTAATTATATTCAGCAAACGCAAAGATAAGCCATGCGATAAAAATGCTTACATAGACATGAATGGAACTAAAATCAAACCTACCACGCAAGTGAAATACCTAGGAGTAACACTAGACAAGGGTCTTACATTTACAAAACATATCCAAAATATCCGAAAAAAAGGACAAGCAGCATCAGCGCTCTTACACAACCTACTTAATAGGAAAAGCAAAATGTCAATTAAAAATAAGTTATTAATTTACAAAGTGATTATACGACCTGTGCTATTGTACGCCTCACCGGTGTGGAGCAATACTTGTGAAAGCAACTATTATAAACTAGAAATAATCCAAAACAAAATACTAAGGAAAATAATTAATGCCGAACCCAGAACTAGCAATAAAAAAATTAGGAATCAACTCAGAATAAAGACAATCAAAGAAATAGTACTTGATCACACCAATAAATTTTACAAATATCAGTTGCACAAGGCAGACGCCCTCGCAGACTTTAAATTTTATAACAAAGAAAATGCACCATTTAAAATTAAACACAAACTACCCTACCATTTGCTGCGCAGTGACCATCAGGAGCAGCAATACGCTAGTCAGTAAGTTCTCTTGTTACCTAGTTTTAAGCTCTAGTAAGTAAGGCCAAACAAAATTAATGTGTTTTTTACCAAATCCTTTTTCACAAAACCCACAAACCATAATAAGTAACATTCATATATCGTTCATAATTCATAAAATCAAAAACAAAGTATTAACTTAGAGTAAAAGCGCCAACAGCTGAACCTAAAACTAACACAAAAATTACAATACAGCATACTAATCACCAAGTGAAATTATGTATATACTCTGTAATCAAAAGTAATAAATAAAGAGATTTTTAAAAGTAAAAGTAAAAAATTCGTGAGCACGGTTCGGAGTGCTCGTCGAGCGCGCGTCGAGTGTGGACGTATCCCCCCCTAGCGTGGCGAGTGTTCCGGTGTTTCCGAGCGCGAGCGTCGCAAGCGCACCAGGCTTAAATGCCGTTGTGGCAGCATCAATAGTAAATAATAGTGAAAATATCATCTCCATATCGCTCCCCATGAAGGACGAAGCGCATGGAAGCGCGAAAGTACTAACCAGAAGGACATTGAAGAGACACTCAACCAGCAAAATGGAAGACAAATCCAACTCGAAACACCATGTTAAAACTCAAAACAGATTCAACCTACTCTCTGACAACGAAAACGAAGACATGGATGCCAACTCCTCTAGCGATGAGAGCACCAGAAACCAAACCAACGACAAAGAAAAAGAAAAAAAAATTCCAAGGGTAACAACACCAAACAAAATAATAAAAGAAACAAAACATCAAAAAAAAGACAGAGTCCCACCAATAGTGGTCACCACACAAGTCAACAACTTTAGCGGATTCATCAAAGCAATAAGAGATCTAGCCAACGGCGAAGCCATTTTCCAACATACCAAGGACGGCTTAAAAATCTTCCTTGAGAGCAAGGCAAGCTATAACCTGATTCAGGCGACACTAAAAGAAAAAAACTACTCGTACTACACGTACACAAACGAAAGTGAAAAAATCAAACACTTAGTAATCAAGGGCCTTCCTAGCATGGATACTAAAGAAATCCAAGACGACCTAAATAACAAAGGTTATGGCTGCACAAGAATAGCCATGATGAAGCAGAAAGCGCCGCCACCATATATAGCTCCACTATACATGGCCTCTTTCTACGGAGGTACCGACATCAGCGAAGTAAAACGAATAAAGCACATCTGCTACACAAGAGTGTACTGGGAAAAATACAAAAATTCCAAAGGAGCGACCCAGTGCCATCGCTGCCAAAGGTTTGGCCACGGCTCTCAAAACTGTAACAATCCTCCTAGATGTGTAAAATGCGACCAAAAGCACATAACAGCCGAATGCAAGAAAGACAAAGAAACAAAACCTCATTGTGTTAACTGTGGAGAAGAACATCGAGCTAATAGTAGGTTATGTAAAGTGTATCAAGACAGGATTACGACAATTAAAAACAACAGGAATAAGCAAAGAACACAAAATACAACAAAAAAGGCCCCCGAGCCACCCAGCAACAACCACATTAATTTTCCTACATTGGCCGGAAAAACCGCAACCACACATACAGCCTGGAACAAACAAACAGAAATTGATGTCGAAACAATACAGGAACTTTCTTCAGATCTTGATAAAATCCTAAGACTCATAAAAGCAGTGCAAAATCTCAAACAACGCTTTAACCTAGACGCTATGACCGTAGCCATCGAAAAATTCACATCTGATGCAGAACAGCTGCATAACACCTTACAGCATGAACATGAAAAGTAAAAATTTTTCCATAAATCGAATTACCATATCACATTGGAACGCAAATAGCATCCAAGAAAAACTCACTGAGCTCAAAGAATTCATTCAAGATCACGAAATAGACATTATGATAGTGAGTGAAACAAAGTTCAACCGAAATGAAAAGAAAGCGTCAACCTGCAGCATACCAGGATATGACATATACCGCAAAGACAGGACGAGCACCACAACCGGAGGCGGAGTCATGATATGCGTCAAAAAGGACATCAACGTAACCGAGGTACCCATAAATACACTCAACCTGGAAGCTGTGGGAGTGCAGCTAGACAATCGTACAGTGATTGTGGCTGCCTACCTGCCACCAAAATCCAAGCTCCTGGAAGACGAACTCGATCAAATCTTCAGGCTGTCCTCATCGGTCATCATCGCCGGCGACTTCAACTGTAAACATGCAGACTGGAACTGCGAAAGGTCCAATCCAAACGGAAACAAGCTCCAGGACTACATCATCAAAAATTCGTACGTATTACTGTTCCCCGATGGTCACACACACTTTCCTGATAATGATTACTTGCCTAGCACGATAGATCTAACGCTAATTAAAACCGAAAATTTTTCATATGATATAGAAGTCCTTAACGAACTTAACTCTAACCATCTACCGGTGCTGGTCAATATAAATTTCAAAGTCAAATATAGTAAAACAAAATCGAGTTATCTAAATTATAAAAAAGCTGATTGGCGAAAATTTCGTGAATTATTAAGTAATAGCATTAACTTAAATTGTAAACCAGCGAGCATAGAGGATATCGATATGTGCGTCAAAAAGCTAACAGATGACGTCAAGTGGGCCATGGAGAAGTCGATACCCAGAAATTATGAAAATTTTAATGTAAATAACATAGATCCAGAAACGAAAAATCTAATTAAACAAAGAAATAGTTTAAGANACTTGTGAAAGCAACTATTATAAACTAGAAATAATCCAAAACAAAATACTAAGGAAAATAATTAATGCCGAACCCAGAACTAGCAATAAAAAAATTAGGAATCAACTCAGAATAAAGACAATCAAAGAAATAGTACTTGATCACACCAATAAATTTTACAAATATCAGTTGCACAAGGCAGACGCCCTCGCAGACTTTAAATTTTATAACAAAGAAAATGCACCATTTAAAATTAAACACAAACTACCCTACCATTTGCTGCGCAGTGACCATCAGGAGCAGCAATACGCTAGTCAGTAAGTTCTCTTGTTACCTAGTTTTAAGCTCTAGTAAGTAAGGCCAAACAAAATTAATGTGTTTTTTACCAAATCCTTTTTCACAAAACCCACAAACCATAATAAGTAACATTCATATATCGTTCATAATTCATAAAATCAAAAACAAAATATTAACTTAGAGTAAAAGCGCCAACAGCTGAACCTAAAACTAACACAAAAATTACAATACAGCATACTAATCACCAAGTGAAATTATGTATATACTCTGTAATCAAAAGTAATAAATAAAGAGATTTTTAAAAGTAAAAAAAAGCATATGCCACAAAGGCTGAACTTTGAGAAAAAAAAGAGAGGGAGCCTGAGCAAACAACATTAAAAACGTGTAGGACTCGGACTCTCACTTTTTTTTTCCTTATATTTTAATATTGTCATCAGTTTCCTATTGGTTATGTGATTGTGGCCCTTGGGCTTGGACGGGTGTGAGAGTCGTGTGTATGCATGTCGAATGAAAAAGTACTCTTTCTCTTTTCTCGCTCTGTCTCTCTCTCTCTATCTATCTCTCTGTTTTATATACATCCCATCGTAACCCACTATAAAGAACTTTGTTCTAAAATAGTATAAAAATTCTTTGGATCCTGAACGAAGTGCCCGCCAGCAAACGTGAAATTTTTGCGTATGCATTTCCCTATTTCAATCAAAAAACGCGTAAAGACTTTTTCCTTGCACCATTACCTGCTCCAATGCTCTTGACTTACAATTAGTATGGAAAAGACTTAAAACTATTGACTCGCTGCATCCTGGCAAATCTCTCCGTCGGCATATTGAACGAAGACTTTGAGGGCCTCAAAGACTTCCTGACCCACGGGTAGGATTTCTCTCGGTGGAGGCGCAAACTGCCAGGAACCGCCGGGCAGCTCGATGGTGTACGCCAAACTCGAGCCAGCCACCGCCATTGCCCAGTCATCAGAGGAGCCAGCCGATGCATCTGAAAATCGATTATTATTTTTCATTTCGAAAGATAGGTGGTCATCATACTTTGTCTCTTTTTCGTATTTTTTTTTTCTTGTTCAAAGCGTTCTTGGAGACATTAAAAAACAATTACCAAGACGCACGTATTGATTCAAAAGAACTGTATACACCTGAGAGTCGATTATTCAATTGTTTGTACTTTGAAACCTCTGATAACTTATGAAAAATTTTAAACATTTCTAGATAAGTTTGTTCCAACCTTTGTTTTGAAATTATGAATATCGATGCTGGTAATTTCATATTTTACAACTAAGGAATTTTCAGACTGTGATTTTTCTTGTTTCAAGAATTTATAATAAATTTCTTAACTCATAGTACTGACGATCTAAAATGCATTAAGTGAGTACTCAAAAATCACCTAACTTTGCACAATATTCTCACACACAGGGAATACTCACACGCACACTTGGGATTGCGGAAATGTGAAGAATTGTAAAAAGGCATTAAAAAAACTTACACAAAGTGGCCATGGAGGAGCCGACAGTGAAGCGAGTCCCACGGACTTTCGAAAGTGCCAGTTCTGCTTTCTTACCGACACACCTCTAAAATCACAAGTTGGTTGGATATGTATATTATCTTTATTCGATTATTTCATGCAAACACAATACTTACAAGTTCGGGCTCGTTTTCCGGAAGCTCCGCAGTGTAACTCCACGGGTAGAGAATGTAATTTCCGTATGAGTGGAAGGAAAGATAAACTCGGAGATTTTCGATTGACAGAAGGAAATCTCTCAATGCGACAGTTTCGGGCTCGGAAAATGGCTTAGGACCAGCATAAGTTTCCGCACAAGGATTATTAGATGCTCCAACAGCTGTGCATTTTATAGTGACAAAAAATTAGTAACATTATGTTCAAAAATTATTAAAAAATAATTTACAAGACATTTCATGTATTTCACACACATATTGCGAAATACAACTCAGTATTTCAACATTAATCACAAGACTCAGACATGATTATGGTAGCCCAACTATTTGATGTCTAAAAAAAAATGAATCACTTACTGGCCCAATAATAATCAAAGTTGCGATTCCCATCGGTACCCACACAACGACTCTCCGGATTAATGGATCGCGTCTTCCTCCACAACCGAGTCTGTAAATCACACGAAAAAAAAATCTCATAATTTTCAGGACTACATTTCTCTCTAATAACTAAACTTACATATTTATCCTTATGGGTGTATTCGTAACCATCGACGTTCAACGACGGAACGACGTAAATGTCAACATTATCGAAAAGATAGCTGTTCGTCACGTTCTCCACCAGCTGTCTGACGGCGTAAATAGCCGTGGTCGGGGCTATCCATTCTCTAGCGTGTATACCGGCATCGATGAAAACCGCAGGCTTGTTCGTCCCACTGCTAGAAATCTTTACGCCTACAATGTCCCTACCCTCAAAACTCTTGCCTAGCACGAATTGTGTTACCGTGCCCCTATGAGTCCTCCATAAGCCATCCAGGTATCGTTTTATCTTCAAAGAAAAAAGAAATCATCTCACTCTTGTTTTTTGCAAAGGGAGATAGGCCAGTACGAGAAAACCTCATCGTATCGCGGGAAGGATTTGAGGATGTCATCACTGCTGCTGTCGGTGAGACGAGCTTTTCTCTGCTGCTCGAGTCCCTCGTCGATGGCTGTGCTCACGTCCTCGATGAATATCTCGTAAGCAATCCGGTTTTCCGACAGTTCTAGCTTGAAATCGTCCAGCAGATCCGCGGGGACGAGAACTTCGGTAGGAACATTTGGGTTGCGACTGTGTCTTAGGAAGTCGAAGCCTGGCTGGTTTTCGAACTGACTGACGTATTTCAACTTGGACCATGTGTCGCAGTGGAGTCTCAGGCCTTGCATTCTTCGAAAATTTTATTTTGGTGTTATTGGTAATCGTGGAACAAAAAAAATTGATGCTGTCTTTTTACCTGAGATTTTAGGAAAATTGTATTACTCGATTTATAGTCCGTGAAAGAAGAGTAAACGTGACGCTATCATAATGAATTATTGTTTATGACAAATCACAATAAGACAATCTTTTGTTCTCAAACGAATTGAATTTGTAAAAAACAAAATACTACTTAAATATTTTCTACACAAATTTTTCATCATGTACGAAAAACAACATGGCAAGTTATTTAAAAAATACTAATGTTTTGAAAAAATTAATTTCGATCAAATACAATTTTATTAAAAATCTAGTAAAATTTTTTTAAAGTATCTAATACAAGTGTTTGGATTGTTGGAATAGATATGAAAATTACTTTAATAGATATATTTTTAATATGTATTACAGGATAATATTAATTTCAATAGTTTATTTCGTAATCGTCGTTCAAAAAAAAAATAAAAATAAAAATAAAAAAGATCCCGGTGCTTGTCAAACGTAACAATCTTAATCTGTCGACGATAGGATTCAAGCCCGAGGTGATACGTCAATGCGAGCGAGCTCTGCGCAGTCTACCAACTGAGGATCCGAGGCTCAACATGAAGGGGCGCTTTTTCTTCGATCCGAACAAGAAGCTCGTAGCCAAGGATGTCAAGGATCTGCCGTCGTCGAACTCTGTGCTGCTGCGCAAAGGCCGCACCGAAATCCACTGGGAGGAGGAATTCAACCAAATGACCCAGGGAACGACCGACATCAAGATTGCAGGCAGCAAGCGCGTGATTACACTGCAGAAAATCTGCCAAACGGAAGAGACAACGATGGAGGTGAAAGCGGTGCAGACCGAAGAGTTAACCATGATTGACTTTGGCATGCAAGTCGGACCCGACGAGCTCGTACCGTTGGTCGACGATCGCCGTGGTCCAAACGTCGTTGGCGATTTCGACGAGCGGACCAACAATTTCGAGGACAGACGTGGCTTTGACGAGCGCAGCGGCAACCGACACGACTGGAACATGCGAGATCAGAACGTCGGCAAGCCACCGATACGCGACAGTGAAGATTTGCGCTGGAGCTTGAGCAACAATTCGAACCGAGCCAATCCCTGGAACAGAGACTTCTCGCCTCCACGACAATCCGTGAAGGATCACATGCACGGAGGACCCGTCAGCAGTCCAGTTATGGACATGCGGGGTATGGACATGATGCGCGACCGACCAGGTGTTGAGTGTTCCGGTAGGATGATGGACGCGCGCGATCGTATAATGGACCGGGGCATGATGGACCATAGGGGTAGGGAGATGGAGATAAGGGAGCGCGAGATGATGGAACGTGAGTTAAGAGAGCGCGAGATAAGAGGACGCGAGATGGAAATGCGAGGCATGAACATGCCCAGAGAGCACGAGCTCATGATGGAACTACGGGGTGATGGGGGCAGGCCACCGATAAGCAGTTTAATGGACATGGGCAACCGTGGCGGACCCATCAGCGACTTTGGTGCACGCAGGGAACCTTTGGATGACTACGATCTGCGCAACAGATTTGATAACTCTTTCAACCGAGACTCAATGAAGATAGACAGGAACGAGCCGATACCTCGAGGCAGGGACAGTCCACCGCCCATCATGGACGAAGGCGACGATTTGGAAATCATTGAGGAACGCGTGTTCGACCAGGACTCGTGGCAAAGGATGAACAGCGGAGCACAGTACAACAATGCTAAGGGCAGTGCGGGTATAGCAGCGGCCTTGCGCAATCAGCCGTCAACAAAGAGAACCCCATTCCGCGGGGGTAGGATCGGTCAATTCAGGCCGAACTTTTAAGCGTTAAGATTCGATACTTTTTCCGTTGAAGCTCGTTTTAACAATCGTACGTTGGTTTCGTTTCAAGTCACGACGAGAGAAATCTTTCTCATTTTGTTTTGAGCTGACTAGTAAATTTTCAGCTGTTCTAGTGTATCTAATCAACCCCAACGATGATTGTTTCGAAAAACGTGCCGTCTATGGAAAAAGTTTTCATGTAAATAACTGCTGTCTTCATATTGCGAGCGCGTTATTCATCTCTGCATAATTTTAAAACAATTTTCTACATAAGAGTTTATACTTTTTTTTTTCTTCTTTTGTTTATTCTATTTCTAGTGATCCAGCAAAGTAACAACTTGAAATTGTATTTCAATATATGTATTGAAGAAAGGATCAGCCAAAGCTTCTTGATCGGAATGGTCAATAATTTTTTATGTACTCTCAAGACGATGGATTCATTGTAAATTGTACTGCTCTGGTTCAGGAAGTACAATATATTCAAAAGACTTCTCTCTATAAGCATAGCCTTCACACAATTCTCATTTACTTCGTTTTTTTTTTTTTTTTTTTTTTTTTTTTTTTTTTTTTTTTTTTTTTTTTTTTTTTTTT